GTCTGGATTGTACATTATCAAAGGATGAACATAACGAGTCAATACAGAAAAGGAAGTTGATGACACTGCTTCTATTTTGAATTTGGGATCGCGAAGTACCATAGTAGTATCTTCATCATCAACATAGAATACGCGAAAAGCTAGAGTGGCACCAAGAGCTATGGCTAATACAAGTAGTAAGATTTGTAAAATCAGATTGTACTTTGACTTTTTTGTAGAATCAATTGTTGTTGCATCCTTGTTATTTGATTTCTCCTCCATTTGATTACTACGAAAAAGAAAAAAATTGATGAAATAGAAGGTGTATAAAGTATTGAGAAAGTTTACTAATGTAGAATGCAATTTCTTAGCTTAAAATGTGATTGTTATATAGAATAGCAAAAAGTCACTATTCTAAAAGGATTAGGAAAAATTGTTTCCATTATGTATTTGGATTTGGAATTATTTTTGAAATTTAGGTGTTAGATTAATTTTATTTTAAGAAATAAAGTGTTTGCTTCACGAAAAAGAAACGTTTTTTCCTAATTGTATTCTATTTAGATTTGATATTTTTGGAAACGTTTTCCAAAATCCAAATCATTATTTGTCTTTTTTTTTCTTTCCTTTTCTGTTTATTTTATTATTCCAAAAATAGTTTTTCCATGTTAATTGTTACTTTTAATATATTAAATAATAATTATTATTATTATTTCATATTTTATCTTTAACATTAATTACTTATTTCAAATTATTTTTTAAAATATAATACTAAACATCAGTTAATATAAGTATTATAATAAAACATTCATATCAATTACTATTGTTTTTAATGGAGTACACAAGTTGATCCACATTCCACCGTTAAAAAAGTAATTAAATATAACACCTCAAAAATCTGAACTAAGATTGAACAAGAGAGAGGGGAAAACCACGGATGGGTCCACGAGCTGTGAAGAGGACCATGACCCGTCACCCTGCTCGTGGTTGTGCACCCAACAAAAGGTGAAAGACCATGGACCACTAGACGATTAGTAGAGCTCCTCACGGGCGGTGAAGTGGTCCGTGAAGGGGACACAAAACCACCATGGCTACTGCGAAGGACTACAGACCACTAGACGGTCTGTGGAGCTTCACACGAGCCATGAAGTGGCTCGTGAAAGAGGCTTGACAGACTTTGAGGTTTGGGTCAACTTCAAACGATCATATCTTTCAGCACAAAATGACTTAGGTGGCCCATAACCTATCAAATTAAATGTCTCTGAATCCTCTTTCTAACGCCTCTGAGTTTGCCTAATTACTAGCTCGAAGTAAAACGTTTGCCCTAAGTAGTGAAGACCTGTCAGGCAGAGCATCTTCAAGATCCACTTGACGGGCTGTGGTGCTCTAGACGTCCTGAAGTCACTTCGTCAGTTTTTAAGTCAGGGTCGCATTGATCTTTTCTCATATGCATTTGGTACTTAGACTACGTTGTTTGGTGCTTAAACTACGTTTTTTTACTCAATATATGCCTAATAATCTAGTTTGAAACTACCTAGAACCCTCATTCCCCTAGAATCATCTAACTTAGAAAGAAAAGAAGAGAAAAAGACGATAGTTTCTCCCAAGAACAAGCAGAGGTTTTCTTCAAGTTTAGCCTCGAAATCAAAAGGATTTCTCCGTCTTTTCGTCACCAAGTATGTGGGATTTCACTAGTGGGTTCCTTTCACCCATTAGGTCCCTAGAATTCAGCATGTTTTTCAATTTCTCATGATAACTTGTTCAGGCCTACTGGTTTCCAAAACCTTGGGATTCATTGTGATTTTAGTTGCTGTAGTTTCCACGATCTAAATAACATGTTTCTTGGAAAATTTACATAGTTTTATGTATAGAATTCAGAACCCTAGCTTGTATTAATTATCAATACTCATGAATTATACTTGCTAGTCCAATCAATCAGAAAATTATGCTTCAGAACTTAAATGTCATATCTTTCAGTGTATTTTTGTTGCATTTTCAGATAACATGTCAATATTTTGAGCTACTCAGTATTTCAGTTGCATTTTAGCTATCTACATATTCAGTTGTGAGTAGACTTATACCGAGTTGGACTAGGGTTTAGCGTACCCACACAGTCCTAGAACTGCATGCCCTCCCCTCTGTTGGGCATCTATTTTAGTGATCACACCACATCCATGCCTTTATACCTATGACAAGGTATATTGGGTCCTCTCAATAGAGTGTATACATCAAACTTTACGTTTAGCTCAAATGGTTTATGTCAGTTAATAATAGCTCTCACAGTCATACCCTTATTGCATTGACCATGTTATCAGCATTTACTTCAGTATTCAGTTCAACATGTTATCTTCATGATTAGTACTTGGTCATTACATCTACCTCAATTTTCAGTTATAATTCAGTACAACCTATTTCCATGCTTAGTCTATATTGCCAGTATTATATTGTTCAGTTTATATTGTTCAACTTAGTATCTATATTCTGCATGCTCAGTACATTCAAAGTACTGACACATACTTTTGTGTTACATCGTTGTATGATGTAGGTTTAGGCGCTCAACATCCATATCACGCTCAGTTCGACTTTCAGCCTATACTTAGCAACTTCAGTGATGAGTCCTCATAGTTCGAGGATTTTCCTTTATGCTTTGGTTTAGTTAGCTTACTATCAGTCTTTCAGTATTTTTAGAGTTACCTGGGGACTTGTCCTAGCAGCTTATCAATATTAGAGGCTTTATGATATAGAATCAGTGTTCAGTGTTTTGGGGTTGTTTCCCATGGATATTCAGATATATTTTCACTTGGAGTCATTTTTGGTTTGACTCATTTATTAGTTATGCTTCCGCTTATCTTAGTTATATATTCAGTATGCTTATGATATTCCAGATTCAGGGTTAGCTTGGAGTCACTTGTGATCCTAGATCCTGCGTTACATCTAGGGGGTAGCCTCGGGGCGTGACATTAAATCTAGGGACAATAACACTTTTCATCCTTTAATTATTGATAATTAGATTAATTATATTTTAGATTTCAATTTATATATATATTATTATGTTATTTGGAAATATGTAATTGATACTTAGAGCATTTCTTTGACTTTATTGCATTTACGGGTGCTCAAAGTTCAGTTTGGATCGGTTATTGGTTAAAACCAAAACAAAACAAATTTAGTTGGTTTTTAAATTTCTAAAATCAAACAAAACCAAACGAAAAAATAACCATCGGTTTGGTTAGTGTCGGTTTGGTTCATTTTTTTCGGTTTGAAAGTAATAAATTTGTTGAGGGCATAAGCATCTCGATAAACATAGACACCTAATACATGAAAATTCCATCGGAAAGCTACTGTGGATTCTATTAAACAATACTAGAGTCATTATTACACGAACACAATGATTCAATTTAGAGAAAGTGTGATTATCTGATGTGAGATAGGATAAATAAAGACTAAAGTAATGAATTTTGATGGACTTGCTCTTAGATTTTAATAGTTTGGCTAAAATTTAATTGTTGGGCATAAAAAATGATAAACTTAAAGACTTAAGTTAATTAAAATTTAACAAAATATTTATATTTTACTTATGAATAATATATAAATAATTATAAATTTATATATATAATTTCTCGGTTCGATTTGGTTATTTTTGCGATTTTTTTTTAGTAAAACCAAAATCAAAACAAATAATATTGGTTTTTAAAATTTAAAACCAAATTGAACCAAACCACACCAAATATCAACTTTTAAATCGATTTAATTCAGATTGTGATTTAATTTAATTTTTTAACTATAATTATGAACGACTCTAATTATATTGATATGAAGTAACATTACAAACTTGACTAGGTAAGATAATTAAATGATCTGAGATGAAAATTGTGAATATTTATATAAAAGATTAAAAGTGCATATATTTCTAAATTCTAATAGTCCATTACTTTGTCCTTTTCTACGGAGTTCAACAATCACAAATTACTAATCCAAGTGATCCATTACTTTGTCCTTTTCAGCAAATTTAGATAAATTTAACAACAAACATAATACATTGTATTGTATTATACTGTGTTATACCTTATAATTGTGTGAATATAGTGTTTGGATAGACTGGATTGCTTATTTTAGTTTAACACCACCTTTCCTACAATAATGCTCATTCAACGACTTTGGCACTAGAGTAAATTCAAAAAATAGACGTTGGTTGACATTCCAACATTCCTTTTTTGATCAGAGCCTATCTGAAAGAGAATCTAATACATTTTGCTCGTGAATATCTGAACTGATTGATTGTTGTTTCAAGAATTCATGTTTAGACAGTTCATATCGTCCATACATAGTGTTTTGATCTAAGCTTTCAATTCTTCAGTATATCAGAGGGTGGAAGATGCTATGAATCTGAAGTGGGCTCTTGGCTTAGGTTCACACTTTCTTTTGTCTTTCCTCGAAAAGTCGAATGTATATATGAGAATCCTTGATGAATTTGTGGCTAAAGTACTTATATCTTATGATATTTCTTTGTTATTCATGTATATATTTGTGTATGTTTTCTCAATAAAGCCCATACTTATTTATAATTGTGCTTAAAGCCCCAATGAACCTTAGAGTTTTTTTTGTTGCGATTTTCACTTTAGATAACACTGGCTTCGAGCAATATTGATTCCAAAATGTAACTTGCCATTTTGGAAATTCCACAAGCACTTAAATTGACAAAAGTTGAATCTTAATCAATGAAATAGTCGAAGTATATGCACAAGTTGAATCGTATTCTTAGTGATTCACAATTAAATTGATTTGTAGTAACTAACTAAAATAGTGGTTGATTTTGTATTGAAATTCCATTGAAGCCACTTACCGAGCAAATGCAAATTAAACTTGTCAAATAGAAGATAAAGAACAGAACAATATATACTTTCTAATATATTTTGATAAACTTGTCTACGGAAACAGAAAAGAAAAAAAAGACAAAAAACTTTAATCAACATGTTGAATCTTGAGAGATAACAACACAAGCTTTGGAAGAATCAACAACTAATACTCCTGTTTGTGTACTGTCTTGTAAATTCTCAACGCGTAAACCTCCACAAGACACCTCAACTTCGCGACAACTTATGTGAGAAGCTGATTTACGATCACTGATTTGAATTTTTCCACTTAGACTAACAGAAAATCTTGTAGTCTGACCAGACACAAAGTCACCAGCAATAGATGTACCAATCCAATATTCATATGCCTCAGGTAAAGCTGCAAACGTTGAATCGATTAAGCTTTGATCTTTTGCATGTTGATGGAATTTATCAAACACATTGCCACTCCAAAGAAGGGTGTCAGTATAGGATATGTTAACCTTGAAATCGTTGTAATAGAAATCATAATTGGTGTTAGGATTTTGAACTGAGAAAGTGAGGTTCCAATTGTCTGGATTGTACATTATCAAAGGATGGACATAATGAGTCAATACAGAAAAGGAAGTTGATGTCACTGCTTCTATTTTGAATTTGGGATCGCGAAGTACCATAGTAGTATCTTCATCATCAACATAGAATACGCGAAAAGCTAGAGTGACACCAAGAGTTATGGCTAATACAAGTAATAAGATTTGTAAAACCAGATTGTACTTTGACTTTTTTGTAGAATCAATTGTTGTTGCATCCTTGTTATTTGATTTCTCCTCCATTTGATTAATACCAAAAAGAAAAAAATTGATGAAATAGTAGGGGTATTAAGTAACGAGAAAGTTTACTAATGTAGAATGTAATTTCTTAGGTTAATGTGTGATTGTTATATAGAAAAGCAAAAGTCATTATTCTAAAAGGATTAGGAGAAATTGTTTCCATTATGGAATTGGATTTGGAATTATTTTAGAAATTTAGGTGTTGGATTAATTTTATTTTAAGGCATAAAGTGTTTGTTTTACGAAAAAGAAACGTTTTTCCTAATTGTATTCTACTTAGGTTTGATATTTTTGGAAAGTTTTTCCAAAATCCAAATCATTATTTGCCCTTTTTTTTTCCTTTTCTGTTTATTCTATTATATATCCTTTTAGTTCACTTTTACTCATATATTATTCCAAAAATAGTTTTTCCATGTTACTTGTATCTTTTAATATATTAAGAAATAATATCTTTTTTTATATTTTATTTTTAACATTAATCACTTATTTTTAAATTATTTTTTTATAAGTTAATACTAAACATTGTTAATATGAGTATTACATTAAAATATTCATATCAATTATTGTTTTTAAGGGAGTGAAAAAATTCAAAGCAAATAAATAAAAGTGAATGGAGGAAGTACTCCCTCGTTCCTTTTTATATGTCATCTTTTTAGATTTCACTTGCGTTAAGAAACTAAGTAAGTTTACAATTCTACTTTTATTAAATATTTTTTTTGTAGTCAATTTTTCAATAAATGATAAATAAATCCATATTTTATTTTTAATTTGTTTATTGAGATTTCTTTTTCACAATAAGATTTTATATAGTAATGCAATGATGAGAGAAATTAATCAATGATTTATGAAGTAATTACAATGAACATTAATTACTTAATAATTTTTCTAAGTTGGTCAAATATCTATTTTCAAGATTAATTAACTATCAACGGTATAATAGGAAGAATATTGTAATTTATACATTGATTTTATGAAATGACAAGTATTATGAACCAACTATTAATAGTAAAAATGACATATAAAAAAGAAGGAATGGAATAGTTTGTCAGGCAATGACCGCCCAAATAAACTTTTCGATTGATGGTATATGTTAAAATATAAGAGAAATGCATAAGTTCACTATTGCAGCGAAATGTGTTGCTACTGAAGGAATAATAATTTGTGGCAATTTAGTTATTCTGTGTACTTGTCGGACTTATGGGGGTTCGTTCAGGTTTTACTTAACCTTGCGAATGAGTGTACCTTCTAGTCTTTTGGGGGTTCAGTTAGGTTTAGTTTAGTTGTACTTAGTTTATTTCTGGTATGCTCGTGAGCTTTCTTTTCATACCCGCTTTGACCTTTCTATGTCTAAATTCTATCATTTCTTATTGTTTTTACCTTTTTTCTTAGTTGGCATTTGATGTTGTCACGCCCCGAGCCTACACCCTGGACGTGGCGGGCGCTCAAAAACCATTGCTGGCCCCTAGCGAATTCTTGGCCTCGCTCAACTCTCAGCGGAAGATTACTCATAAATGAGATGAACTCAAAAGCAAATTTTACTCAATTTCTTTAAAAGAGATAACTCATAATATTTAAAAACATTCACTGCCAAAAGAGGCAACTCAATTCTCAGCATTAAACAAAGGATATGAAAAGACTCATGAACTACTACTATCTATCTATGAAGCCTCTACTAACTTAGATGGACATCGGGATAAGACCAACGACGTTCCAATAACAAAACTAAAATGATAAAACATAAAAGAGTGATCCTCCGGAAGCAAGGAGGCTCACCAAACAACTATGGAACACGACTAGATCAATGGAGTGCCGGTTGCTGATCTTGATTTTTTGTATCTGCATCATAAAATATGCAGGCCAAATGACATCAGTACATGGAATGTACGAGCATGCAAGGGTAAATCTAAACATGACATAAGCTTGAACTGGAACTGAAGAAACAACTTACCTCATCTCAACTCAACTCAACTTCAACTCAAGGATACTCCAACTTACTCAACTCAGTTCAATATAAAGCAGTAGTAAAGATGCATTATAAAGAAAAGCTTTTAAAGACAGTGGATAACAACTCAATGTATTGAAAAATACAATAATATCTCAGTTTGTATGTAAAAATACAAAATAAACTCTGTTTGGGAGATTATCTAACTGACAACCATCACTATGAGCTATGTGATGATACAACGTCTCGTCCACGCTGCCAGAACTTTCCTATACCTTGTCGGGGTATAGGACTCCTCAACTAAGTGGATCCACTAAGCTATGCTTAAAAAGCAATAAGAAATCATCTAAAAAGTATAACCCTTTCCACCCACGTTGGCTACATGGTTTATGGGGGTTGTGAGTTGTCTGAACTCTCCCCCATATCGGTGCTCAATACTACTCCCAAAATATAACTTAGCTCATATGTTTCTTTAAAAAAAAAATTCCTCGTCCTCAACTTTGAGATTATTACTCAAAAGATTTCTCTTAAAAGAGATTGTACTCAAAACTCCTCATGAACTCGTTTGGAAATCAATGTTTCCTTTCATCTTAAATGTAAAAACATTTACTCTTCGGAATACTTAATTCCCATATATCATTTTTCTAAAAATGAACTCAACTCAACTCTACTCATTCTCAAACTCAAGTACTCAAAACTTAAAACAAGTTTTAAAAGACTGAAAAGACTCGAAAGAACTCTCAAGACTTAACTCTTAACTCTACCTTGAATTTGAATTATGAATTCAAGGTTATGATTCATGTTATGAATGATTTCTCGATATTTAGATATAGTTTAGTAGGGGTGCGCATCGGCCGGTTCGGTTTGGTTTTAGGTGTTATTGGTTCGGTTTATCGGTTTTCGGTTTGTAAATACTTCAAACCGATAACCAAACCAATAACATATTTCTTATCGGTTTTTGGTTAATCGGTTTATGGTACTTAACGGTTCGGTTTTCGGTTTAACCAATAAGAAAATACTTATATATATTATATACACAATAAGAAAATTTTCAAATAAACCATATGATTTTTCCAACATTTGGCATGAAAGTAATAATCATAAAAGTAGCAATCATTTTTCTTGCAAGTTTAGACACTAGACACATTCAAAGGAAAAAGTGTGAAAGTAACAATTGTTTAACAATTAACAAAAAGTGTGAAAGTAACAATCGTTTAACCATTAACAATAAGACTAGTAAATTTAGTATAGTCTTATTGGGTTTTCGGTTTAACCATTAACAAAAATTATAAAACCGGAAACCGAACCAATAACCCAATAAAAAAATTTGCAAAACCGTTTAAAAACCGTTAGCCCAATAACCTAATATCAATAAACCAATAGTGTTTTTTTTGGTTTGGTTTATTGGTTAAATCGGTTTTTGCACACCCCTATAGTTTAGAGTAGTTAGAATCAATAGGGTGTAAAGGTACCCTTTGAAAGAACTCAAACGGGCAAATCGATGGAAAAAGGGTAGAGGTAGGCAACCCTGACACATTGAGTGGCGCGTGGCGCCAGCCCCTGAACTACAAGAACTTATTCCCGGCGCACTGGTGGGGCGGCGCGCCAGCCACTGCCCAGAAACTCCCGACGAATTGTCTTGCTCGTTTTCTTACCCTAATTCGCCTAGAATCGAATGGTTTCTTACCGACTCACTTAGATTTGAATACCCAACATAAGTACAAGATAATCTACTCAAAACAATCCTCAAATCACTAAGATTAACCTCACAAATTCATCAAAACCCCAACAATCAAGATTTAGAATGAAACTCATCAAGAACTTTAAATTTATCAATCTTTATCGATGGATTCGAATATGTAAATCATGATTGGCATGTGGGTGAACGAGCGCAACACTATGAAAGCTTACATACCTTAATTTGGCAAAAATCCTCAACGAATCTCATGAATCGCGACGAACGCCTTGAACTTTTCCTCTTTTCTCCTCTATTAGCTTCTTGAACTTTCTTCTAAAACCCTAAGCGTAAATTAGGATTTGTAAAACTGACCCAAATCAAATTTGATCCCAAATTATTTACTAATTTCGTTTTAAGCTGATGGGGTAAGGAAAAAAACAAAATACCTCTCATATTTTCGGGTAACTTTCCTTAACTGGACATGCAGATTTCAAATGGCCATATCTCCCTCATCCAAACTCGAAAATTAGCAAACTCGGTGGCGTTGGAAAGAGGATTCAAAACCTTTCATTTGATATCTTATGGGCCACCTAACTCATCCTATACTAAAAGTTATGGTCGTTTGAAGTTGACCCAAAACTCACAAATTAAGCCTAACTTGCAAAATTTTCAGTTTAGCTATTTCCAATTTAGAACATTCTAAATTTAGCTCTTTCTAAGGCGGGATGTTACAGATGCTTACTGAGTACCTATTGTTTTGGTACTCATGCTACACTTTGCATCTATTTCGTGATGCAAGTCCTAGTACCAGTTACCAGCGGTGATTAGTTCCTGCCCTCTTTTGCAGCTGTGGTTCAGAGATGAGGGTGAGCACTTGGCATTTTGGGTTTATCATGTCTCCTTCTTTTGTTTTAGCTAGTCTTGTTGCTTTTTGAGACACACTTTGTTGTGGTCCACTTTTGGGACTTGTACTCTTTATTAGACTGCTTTGTACTAGTGACTTTCAAGTTCTGGGAGGGATTTCTATATATATTTTGGTTTGCTTCCGCCTTGTTGTCCTTTGTTTAGATTATTGTTTTCACTAGTTTCTACCCTCACACTCATTATTGATGTTCTGGGTTACGGGTTGGCTTACCTACTGATGGGATATAGCTAGTGCCATCATGACTCGAGAAATCGGATCGTGACATTTAATTACTTTTTTTAACGGTGGAATGTGGATCAACTTATGCACCTCTCGAATATTTCAATATATACCATTAATGGAAAAGTTTATTTGAGAGGTTATTTCCTAACAAATTACTTCCTCCATTCACTTTTATTTATCCGCTTTAAATTTTTTCACTCCCTTAGAAATAATAATTGATATGAATTTTTTATTATAATGCTCATATTAACTAATGTTTAGTATTATGTTTTAAAAAACAATTGCAAATAAGTAATTAATATTAAAGATAAAATATGAAAAAATAATAATTATTATTATTTCTTACTATATTAAAAGTGAACTAAAAGGGTAATAGAATAAACAGAAAAGGAAAGAGAAAAAAAAGAAGACAAATAACGATTTGGATTTTGGAAAAAGTTTCCAAAAAATATCAAACCTAAGTAGAATTTAATTAGGAAAAACGTTTCCTTTTTCGTAAAACAAACACTTTATGCCTTAAAATAAAATAAATCCAACACCTAAATTTCCAAAATAATTCCATAATGGAAACAATTTCTCCTAATCCTTTTAGAATAATGACTTTTGCTTTTCTATATAACAATCACACGTTAAGCCAAGAAATTTCATTCTACATTAGTAATCTTTCTCATTACTTTATACACCTTCTATTTCATCAAACTTTTGTCAATTTTTTTATTTTTCGAATTAATCAAATGGAGGAGAAATCAAATATCAAGGATGCAACAACAATTGATTCTACAAAAAAGTCAAAGTACAATCTGGTTTTACAAATCTTACTACTTGTATTAGCCATAGCTCTTGGTGTCACTCTAGCTTTTCGCGTATTCTATGTTGATCATGAAGATACTACTATGGTACTTTGCGATCCCAAATTCAAAATAGAAGCAATGTCATCAACTTCCTTTTCTGTATTGACTCGTTATATTCATCCTTTGATAATGTACAATCCAGACAATTGGAACCTCACTTTCTCAGTTCAAAATCCTAACAACAATTATGATTTCTATTACAACGATTTCAAGGCTAACATATCCTATACCGACACCCTTCTTTGGAGTGGCAATGTGTTTGATAAATTCCATCAACATGCAAAAGATCAAAGCTTAATCGATTCAACGTTTGCAGCTTTACCTGAGGCATATGAATATTGGATTGGTACATCTATTGCTGGTGACTTCGTGTCTGGTCAAACTACAAGATTTTCTGTTAGTCTAAGTGGAAAAATTCAAATGAGTGATCGTAAATCAGCTTCTCACATAAGTTGTCGCGAAGTTGAGGTGTCTTGTGGAGGTTTACGCGTTGAGAATTTACAAGACAGTACTCAAACAGGAGTATTAGTTGTTGATTCTTCAAAAGCTTGTGTTGTTATCTCTCAAGATTCAACATGTTGATTCTAAGAAAGAGCATAGGGATTGAAGTTTTTTGTCTTTTTTTCTGTTCTGTTTTTGTAGACAAGTTTATGAAAATATATATTGTTCTGTTCTTTTATCTTCTATTTGTCATGTTTAATTTGCATTTACTCATTAAGTGGCTTCACTGGAATTTCAATACAAAATCAACCACTATTAGCAACTACAAATCAATTTAATTGTTTGTGACAATTTATAAATAGGATTAGAAGTACATATTTCATATAGTCCATTACTTTGTCTTTTTCTATGGAGTTCACTATTCACAAATTACTAATCCAATTGATACTATATGCCAACTTATTCTATGGAATTCAAATAATATTTTGAAAATGGACGTGGATCCATTACTTTGTCTTTTTCTGCAAATTTAGATAAATTTAACATCAAAACAAAATACATTCAAATATTCAATCTTTAGTCCTGTTACATGATTCTTAACAATGCGCACTAGTTCAAAATCCATAACAATGTTCAAACACAATTTTTTTTTAAAAGAAATATATAAATATTTTCAAACAATATATATATGATTGCTAAGACCATCACTTATGTTCATTGCTAAATGAACGTCGATTGGCAATTCATGTATGATATGTTTCAGACTACAAGAATATATTTGATATGATTGAAACAATACACAAGAAATATCAAGGTACTCTTTAATTTGTGCATTTTTTTTCTTCCTTTCCACTCGTTGTTAGAGTTGTTTCATGTTGTTTCATGATGTATATCGTTTTGTATCGTATTGTGTTGCACCTTATTATTGTGTGAATATAGTGTTCAGATAGTCTGAATTGTTCGTTTTAGTTTAACATATTTCCTATTTGGTCTAACTATATGTCTGTATCGTATGGTACAATACCATCTATTCAACGACTTTGGCACTAGACGTTTCCAAAATGGGGACTTTTAGGTAAATTCAATATAATAGACGCCGGTTAGCATTCCAACCTTCCTTTTTCGTCCAAGGACTATCTGAAAGAGAATCCAGTACTTCTTGGTCGTGAATATCTAAACTGAATGTTCAAGAATTCGTGTTAAGATAGTTCATACCGTCCATACATAGTGTTTTGATCTAAGATTTCAATTCTTCCGTGTTTCAGCAGAACGAATTTATCCTGAGCATGAACCATGTCTTCTACTAAGCAAAAATCTGTCAGGTATATATGAGAATCCTTGAATTTGTGGCTAAAGTATTTATAATCTTATGATATTTTGTTAATTTATTTCAAAATGCAACACATTTTTGTAGTAGTTCTTTTCTATGTTGCTCGAGCTCTTCAAAGTATTGTTAGGTGTGTCAGATCCTCCAAAAGTACTTACAGGTGTGACAACATTTTTGAAGAGTCCGAGCAGCATAGTCATGTGTTTTATCACTAGACTCTAAGTCATGCTCATCTCTGTTCAATCAGATTTCCAAATGACTTTGACATATCAAAATCTGGATCATCCAATGTGTCGAAATTCCTCAAAACTATCTCCATCAAGAATCACGAACAAACGTCTAGTTCAAACCTCGAAAAGGTAGAAATAGAGCCAAAAATGAAGGTGTTCCGAAAGAAAAAGCTTTCAAGAGTATTTTCGGAGGACTATGATGGGGTGCAATGGAAGATACTAGATCCGCGAGGACGTCCTATAAACATATGGAACAAATGTTTCCTTATTGCTTCTCTAACTTCTCTGTTTGTTGATCCATTGTTCTTCTATTTACCAAGTGTTAACAACGAAATCTGTATGGATGCAAGTTATCCTATGGAGATAGTCCTTACAATCGTTCGATCAGTCATAGATGCATTTTATCTGGTTCAGATTTTAGTTCAGTTTCGAACAGCCTACGTTGCACCTTCCTCTCGTGTTTTTGGAAGAGGTGAGCTAGTCATTGATTCTTCAAAGATTGCTTCAAGGTATCTTCGTAAGGACTTTTTGCTCGACGTCTTGGCTACTCTTCCTCTACCTCAGGTACAAATTAGTCCTCTAGTTAAAACTCATTGATGTCTTTTAGGCTTACAAGTTGCATCAAATGCTACTTTGTGTAGCTACATCGATTGTAGGATGGTCAATTGAACACTCTTCGTCAGAAAATCATAATGTGTTATATAGATATGTAAATCAAATAGCGAAATTTCTGTTTTCAGGTTTTGATTTGGGCTGCAATTCCGTCTCTGAGAGGTTCGAATAGGATTGGTGCAAAACACGCCTTACGCCTAACTATCATTTCTCAGTTCCTCTTGAGGCTATGTCTGATTTTTCCACTTTCATCTCACATTATCAAGACCACTGGTGTAATGGTGGAAGCTGCTTGGGCTGGCGCGGTTTATAACCTCGTGCTCTTCATGTTGGCAAGTCATGTAAGTTATACGTGATGATGTAGGGTGAGCTAAAGTTTATTGTTCCAATTTACTATCTACAGTCAAACCTCTATATAGCGACCTCGTTTGTCTGGTTGTTATAGAGAACATATAATATTACATAACATGAAAAGTCGATTCCAAAAGAAAACTTGGCTGTTAAATTGAAATGTTATTACAAAGAATGAATGTTATAGAGAGGTCTGATTGTTGGCTTATCGATCATTTTGTTTACGATTTTTGTTAAGGTCATGGGATCTTGCTGGTACCTTTTAGCTGTGGAGAGGCAAGAACAGTGTTGGAAGAAGATTTGTGATCAACAGCAACCATATTGCCAATATTGGTATTTCGACTGCCAAAGGAAGAACGATAACAGTAGAATCGCGTGGTATCAATGGAGCAATATATCTACATTATGTGGTCCTAGCAGCAACTTCTTCCAATTTGGAATCTTTAACGATGCACTGACTCATCGCGTTACACAGTCATCATTTTTGAACAAGTATACGTATTGTTTCTGGTGGGGCTTAAGGAACCTAAGGTAAGGAAATCCAGCTAAACATCTGTTATTTTTCGATTAAATGTTCTAACTTTTTGTGATCTAATTTTTGCAGCTCTATTGGGCAGAATCTCTTGACTACTACTGACATTAATGAGATAAATTTCGCGGTTGTTCTTGCAATTCTTGGATTGTTGCTTTTCGCGTTACTTATTGGCAATATGCAGGTAAGTTATTAGATGATAAAGAAACATAGTTTTCGATCTTAGCCAAATTTGTACTGAAAATGTGTAACTTTTAATACTAGACCTTCCTTCAATCTACTACTATGAGACTCGAAGAATGGAGGATTAGGAGGACGGATACAGAAGAATGGATGCATCATCGTCAACTCCCTCACGATCTAAAGGAGAGGGTCCGGAAATATGATTTGTATCGTTGGGTGACAACAAGAGGTGTTGATGAAGAATCCATCGTTAGAAGCCTTCCTGTTGATCTCAGAAGGGACATCAAACGTCATCTTTGTCTTGATCTAGTTCGTCGAGTGAGTGTCATATACTTCTATCAAACTCCCTCTGTCCCAATTTATACGTCTAACTTACCTTTTTGGTATCTCCTAAAAAGAGTGTCTCGTTCTATATTTAGCAAGTTTTTCAGTTCCAACACTCTACGTGACAAGTTTAAGTTGGTCCTGTAGGTACCTTTGTTTGATCAAATGGATGAGTGTATCTTAGATGCAATATGTGAAAGGTTGAAACCACTTCTATACACCGCGGGAACTTGCCTAGTTCGTGAAGCTGATCCAGTGAACGAAATGCACTTCATTATAAGAGGACATTTGGATTCCTACACTACTGATGGAGGAAGAACAGGTTTCTTTAACTCGTGTCAGCTCGGTCCATGTGATTTCTGTGGTGAAGAATTACTAACATGGGCACTAGACCCTCGTCCGAGCATCATCCTTCCTTCCTCTACACGTACAGTGACCGTGCTCACTGAAGTAGAAGCGTTTGCATTGGCTGCAGAAGATGTGACCTTCGTGGCATCACAGTTCCGTAAACTGCATAGCAAGCAGTTAAGGCATACATTCAGGTTTTACTCGAACCAATGGAGGACTTGGGCCGCGTGTTTTATACAAGCAGCTTGGTTTCGATACAAGAGAAGGAAAGAGGCTGCTGCGCTTAATAAGGCGAAGCAGAGTCCCCTGGCTGCTCCTCTGCCTACTGAACCACGAGATGAACGAATTAGAAGCGTGTCGTTGGGACAAAAGGCTTCAGAGTTTGCTGTGTATGCTGCAACATTGGCAGCAAGCAACAGAAAAGGTGGAAGTATGAGGGGAGAACTAGAGATTATTAGTTCATTACAAAAGCCTGTGGAACCTGATTTTTCGGTTGAGGATAGATGAACGCAAATGCACGAGCCAGGATTTTTAGTTTATGAGTTTTGAACACATTATCAATACATATTGAATGAATTTTTCAATACAAATGTAGGATTTGAGCCAAAGTTACTGAGTTCTGCTGAACTCGTAGAGTCAAATTAGACTGTGAATACGAAATACACTATTGTTGTATCATAAATGTTAAGTACTAGTTTTCCATTAAGATTGCAATGTAAGTCGATAGTATTGATCTAGCATATAAGTTGTTTGTACCGCTCTCTTGGAGCTATAAACAATGAAGATGGTCAGTTGAACATTTTTTCCTTAAAAAATTATATGATAGTGTGTATATTTTGATCCTATTGGTAAACTAGTTGGCCGAACGATATATACTTGTAACTTCAAGATTCAATTTTTACGTGTATAAGCAAACATATACTAGTTAATTACTTAACATAGCTATAGTTTGTCTTAATTACAATTCACGACCTACTCTTAGCTATAATTACGTGGCTCAGCCTTTTAGTTTTGTATAATTCGGAATTTGTATAATATAATTTGTATTACTTTTGTATAATTCGGAATTTGTTTAATATAATTTGTGTAACTGTTTATACTTATGATGTTTGTAATTGTATAAATTCGTTATTTCGAGTTTATACAAAAATAACTGAATTGTACAAATGTACCCGCGAATTATACAAATCCACGAATTATACAAACGAGGCAGCTTAAGTTGTAGCTACAACCCGTAAATGTGCAAACTATAGTTATGAAACATAATTAAATTTATTATAGTGGCTATTTGCGAAAGTTCCTCATATAATTGATGGGTTTTAGATAAACAACTGGAGCTGGACTGGGAAATAGAAGGCCCAAACTCAAGGATCTGGCCTGAATAACCATATTGTGGCCCAGTTCATGTTGAATAAAGACATTTGGGCTCTTTAATTAAGGATGAAATTCATATGTTTTGGCTAATTTAATTTGAGAATGAGAAAAATAAAACTTAGAAGTTACATATTAACCGTGAATTCAGTTTACTGAGAATATGACCCTACATAGGAAGGCATGTAGATCGTATATTAAAGTAAAAGAGCAGTAGATAGCCGAGTCATGTTGTCGCACTTGTATGTGGGAGAGGCAAGGGGCTAGTCTCCTCTTCTCTGAAGTTAATTATGTAGTGCCTTTCTCTTCATTTTTACTACTCTTTGTTCATTTTGTTATTTTGTTATCGTTATTTTTCATTCAATATAATCATGTTTTGATTACACTACTTTTGAGTTGAGGGTCTATAAAAATCAACCTCTTTACCCCACAAAAATAGCGGTAAACTTTGCATATATCTACGTCAGGTATAGTGGACAGTGTGGGATTACACTAGGTATCCAGTTGGTGTTGTTTACATATTAACCATGGAGTTCATGGGAGTTCTCCAATATTTTTCCAAACAGAAAGAAAATGAACTATATTCACACTCATGGAGTGAAAAAAAAATTCGATATCATCAGTATAATTCAATTGACCATATCAAGTTAATTAATAATTATTTTATTTTTCAGGTACTATATCAAATTTACAACAACAATTATACTCAATGTAATTTCATAAGTAAGGTATGAGAAGAATTGTGTATAGGGAGACCTTATTCCTATCTTGTATCGATAGATAGGTTATTTTTGATAAATTCTTTTAACTTTTTAAAGCATAAACACAAACATTAATTATGGAAACTACTATATCAAATTTGTTATTTAAAATAATTCTATTACACTATGCTTGCATACTTAATTAACATGTTGGTACCAATTGAGAAGTCGGTTAAGCTACTAATTAAGTTGACTAGAAATTAAAGGAATCATTAAGATTCTTTTACCCCACCCCAAATGACTTTTGTAAGTGGAATTTGGCATCATCAATATTAAAGATCTCGACTTTAAACTTTACGTATAGATTCGTCTTTGATAGGGAGTGTTTTACCTTCAAAGTGAAACTTTTCGTCCCCCAAGTGAGACTTTCTGTCGTCTTTGATAGAGAGCGTTACCCTCAATATGAGACTTTTTAATACAAATTTATATTAATCATGCATCAAAGTGAATATCAAACGTCAAACGAAAATCCTAAAAAAAAAGTGGAATTTGACAGTTAATACCGTTAGGATGTCAAATAAAGTTATTAATGCCTTATTCCTCCCAATAAAGTCGACCAAAAGCAGGCCACTTATTTGTCTTTATCAAAATATCAATTATTCTCATTAATTACTTTGTAAATATCATTGCTATTTCTATATTGTAATTACGGATAAAATTACAGAAAAAAATGTTTATCATCATCACTATACATAATTTTTTGTTTGTATTTTGTCATGTGGGTAAGTTCTATACATATTCATTATAAAAAAATATTTACTAGAAAATTTAATACTAATTAATATTGATTGGATACCTACAAATAAATGACGAGAAACAATATTAAATATATATAGTTAGACATGTATAACTTAATTAAATCTCACCTATCCATAAATTGTAAGCACTATATAGTTAATGAGTTTAAATTATATATAACATACATTGTTTAGCATAATATCTTCATATAACTTAAAAGATATTTATTTGTAGGTAATGTTTATTAAAATTTGAAAATAAGAAAGGATTCCGATCCATAGGAAACAATAAAACCATGCATGTTTTTTTGGTCTAAAATGGCGGCCATCTATGCATGCCTATGAAAGCTATTTATCAAGAAACATGAAACCAATAAGTTTGCTTCCTGTCAGGTCCGAGTCAAATTTAAATTTAGTTAGACTTTAATATAAATATCGAACATCGGATAAAAAATTTAAAAAATAATATTAAAAATAATTACTTCCTTTAACTTACTTTTTTTTCATTTTAAAATTGAAATCAAGTACTTTTTTTCTTTTAACATTTCCTTCATAATATATTCAGGCTAATTTTATAAATAGTTATATTAAACTATAAAATAATTGATAATATCCGACTTTTAATATCGAATCAGAATAAATTAGAATAAAAATAAAGTATTAATATAACAAAAGGATCACAACGGTTTAAATTATAACCTTTCGATACACTAACATATTTTCTTTTTATTTGCTTAAATTGCCACATTAGCACTTCCCTTAAATTGTCGATTCACATCGCTTAATTATCTATCTTCAATCACCTAAAAATATTTAGTAGTGAAAGATTACTTGGGTTGAAATATCTTTGATCAAAATGGATTAAATTATAGTATGTCATTAGCAATTTGCTCAATTCTAATCAATTTGTTTTTGTACTTCTTCTATTATTCGGTTAATTAACTAATAAAACTTCTTTTATTTTTATTATAATTATATATAATACAACAATTTTTTTAAATATTTTAACAAGATTTCTTACGAAGAAGTTAAATTTGATCTTTTAAAAAAAAATCCAAAATAACCCAAAAAGAAAACCAGTGAGAAAATAGTCAAAGTGGGACTTCTTTGAACTTGACTAATGTAACAAAGCTTAACCACCGAAAGAGTTCTCTCTTTGCCATATAGAAACTCATTTTATACATTTTTTTTTGTTTGTTTTTATTCTACATTTTCAAGAAAATAAGAAAATAGAATAAAATAAATATAAATATAATATTTAAAGGAAAAAGAAGAAGAAGAAAAGGCAAATAAAAGTTGGTCTAACTTAATAAAGGGGTCCATAATTGTTTGCAACTTCATTAATGTTGTTCCCCTTTTATGTCTCAAACCTCATGAGCTTGTCCACTTAATTGTCATCATATTTTTTTAAAAAAAAAAAATTATATTAAAAAATCTCACTTCCTTTTTCATGGGATTTTGTGTCATATTTGTACTTTATATTATTTTTTATAAATAAAAAAATCAATTTTAAATTGGTGTTTTGATCAATCAAAGCATGCATAAAGTTTTTAAAGCAAGGTGCTTATTATGATATATTTTGCATGGCTGACCAACATCTCATTTTTTTCAAAAAGAAAAAGAGGTTCATAACTAACTAATATGACACCTTGAAGTACTTTAAGGATAATCCTTTTCTTTTAAAACTTTTAACCGACTTTTCTACGATTACATCAACATATTCAACGTAATTTCATAAGCCTAATCTGAAAAAGATGAGGTATATGCATGCTTTATTTCTATATTGTATTATGAGATAGAGAGATTGTTTTCAATAATCTTCAACTCATATGAATTAGTCATTCCAAACACTAGTTTATCAATATATTTTTGCTAATTAATATGGTATATATCTAAAATTTACAAAAAAAAATCCTATTAATTCATATTCATGTAGGGTAAAACTCATTTGAGGGGAAATGTTTTTAAAAAAAAGAAAATGTTGCCCTATGCCCAAAAGCATTAATGAGTAAATGGAAGATGGTAATTAAAAAATAAATAAAAGAAAGGTCGTATCAGTATGACATGATGCTTTTCATTTTAACTTAAATAAGATGATTTATAATCACATAAAATCTACATTTTATTTAAACTATATAATTTTATCTTAAAACATTTCGTATGTTTAAAAGAACATATATGTAGGCAAACATTCCAAATATATATTAAGAAAAATAAAAGGACTGTATTATTCATCAGACACATCATGTTATAATTACTAGTTAAGTTATATTTTCACAATACAATTTAATCCTTGATTATTACAACAAAAATGCCAATAAATATGTTTAAAATAATATTAAACTATAACATTCAAATCCATCTTGACCAAACATAGTATAGTAGTTAGTTGATGATTAGTCTCTTATTCTGCAATAATATGTTATTATTGTTTGTAATTGCTTTATTTGTTTTGTATCTTGTTATTTTGTTGTTATTTTTTCTTGCAATTCTACTTTGAAAACTCTTCTTTTGAACCAAAAATTTATCAAAAACAGTTTCTCTACGGCTATACTCCACAAAAATAAGGATAAAGTCTATATACATTGGAATTACATTGAATTTGTTGTTGTTATTATATTTCTTGACCAAACAATTG